ACAAGGAAACACCAGTAATTTAGATGGAAAATGTTGAACATTCCCAGACTTGAAAAATAACTTCCCAAATCATACCGAATAACACATAAAGCCTAAAATAACATTAACGGTTAATAAAAGAGGGGAATGATACGATAATACACAGCCTGTGTAAAGCCCTGGGAAGGAGCCTGGTGGAGCCACACTCACTGCAGGGTTGCTGTGCCTCTAGGAAAGCAAAACCAACAGGGAATGCTTTTTGCTTTTCAGCTTTTGTCATAAAAGCGAAAATCCTCTTTGGATTACATTCAGTTCATGCAAATGGGCTATAATGTGAGTCTTTCCTAAAAGCAAAGTGGCATAAAATGACCTTTGGAAAATCAGGAACTGCCTGAATCTGTTTTGACTTTGTGGTGTTCAAACCCAGGTTTGTCGCCTCAGCTTAATAACCCTGGAGGAGACACTGCGGCTCTTTGGACCCCCCACCCCCTTATCTGGGAAAAGCCAGTCAGTACAAAGGGTGACAGAGTAACCTCCTGAGGTGGAACAGTAACAGCCCCGGGGAGGACTGAGCGATTGACGCTCTGTAGCCTGTGTGTACATCCAGACAGGCCTTCCTGGCATCAGGAGAAGGGAAGTGGGCACGGAGGCGGGTGGAGTGGGCTTGTGGCACTTTCCTCTTTTTCTTTTAAGTTCTCTTTCATGGGGTTTCAGCATTGCACACACAATTGAGATGGAAAAAGAAGATCACGTTAGGCAAAGCCAATAGATCTCTAAAACACTCTGCAGTTGAGACTATTTACTCTGCTTTAAGAAGAAAGCAAGCTGTTCACCTTGCATAAAATACTAAACTTACATCCTCTCAGATTTTTCATGAAGCCACCTCTGAAGTGATCTTACTGGAAGAAAATGGGATTTAGATTAAGATACTTAACCTAGTGGGGACATCACTTAACTGTATGACCCCAGGCTGTTTCCTGTCTCTCTTCTCCCTTGTTCCCCCTCTGTGACAGGCCATTGCTGCAGGTCTGCTAAACTTAGGTGTCTGACAAGACTGTTTGGTTGTACACTCCCAAACAACTATTCTTTAATATTAGTAATACAAACATTATTAATCAAACATATGACAAACACCGTCTCCCCTAAAATTTTCTCTCAATTGCTTTCTTGGGTTTAGCCAGTTTCCACTGAGTGCCTACTGTATGCCAGCATTGCAGAGCTCCTGGTTCAAAAGGGGAAGCCTGCCATTTCTGGCAAGGCCAGCTGTGAACTCATCAGTGTCTGTATGATGGTGGACCAAGCATTTCCCCACCAGAATACAGCAGACAGCAGGGACCAGTTGGAAACCATAGCGTCCATGAACATGGATGTAAGCTCAGCCCCAGGCTTCTGGAGCACCCCACCCACCCACCCCACACACCCACACACACCCCCACACCTCACACCCCCACCCATCCCTACCCCTCCCCGTGCATCTCAGCAGCCCTTCAGGGTGCCAGCCTAGCTGAAGTGAACCTCCTTACTGAGAGGTGTCACCAGAAACAACAGCAGGGGCAGGGGCTGCCATTCTGTGGTACTGTGTCACAGGCCTTTTAAATTGTCCTGTAACATCTCGGAGAGGGGTGATGTGATGGCAGAGATTACGCAGTCTGCACTCTCTTGCCTCACCACTTGCTGGCTGCGGCCCATGGCAGATGTCCCCATTTCCCTGGGCTTTTTTCCTGGGTAAGAACATCCACCTTGAAAAAGTCTTAAGAAGACTTCTTGTGAGAATATTTCTAAAGAGTCAAGTCCATGCCTGGTGTCTATCTACATGTTACTCTTCCACTCCCACTCCCTACTCCCTCCCCAAATGCCTGTACTACAGCTGTTCTTACTTCTCTCCAGCTAGTCAAAGCTTTGTCATTTTTCTCAGAAGTATAGATCTGGAGTGCCAGGCTTACTTTCTCCTTAATGGTGAAAAATGATGGAAAGCTTTAGGAAGCTCAGGGCTGCCTACCACTCTGCTAGACTCCTGGGTGCAGGTACTAGTCAGGGTGGGTTAGAGTATGCTGCTATAACAAATAGCCTTACTAGACGGCAAGGGTTAATTTCTCACTCCATCAGAGAGGCTGCGCATCCTCAATCCGGGACCCAGGCTAACAGAGAAGGTACTACCTGGAGTGTGGCCAGTCACCATAGCAGAGGGAAGTTGGGAGTAGTGAATCATGGTTGATGTTTCCATCCCAAAGTGACATGTGTCTTTCCTGCTCACAAGTAATTAGCCACATTCATTTCAAGGAGTTGGAAAAACACACATACTATGGACTCAGCAAAGAACCAGAATATTTGTGATTACCCCAACCCAACTTGAATCTAAAACATGGGTATGGCTTGAAGCCAGCGTTTATGATCACTTTCCCAAGTTACCAATCCTTGCGATTCTATCTGTCAAAACATTCCACATCGACTTCTTAGAATGTCAGTGAGGCATTGATAGTGCTATAATAAAGGTTTTCATTTGGAGTACTCTGTCCCACTTCCTCCTCACACTCCCACAGCAGTCTGTGCCTATCCTGTAAATCCTTGATTTTCCTTTTTAAAAAGATTTATTTATTTATGCACACAAGAACTGGCGTACAGGCCAGAGGTGCAGGTGGGTGAGAGGATTCACCAGAGACAGAGGAGGGAATAGAACAGGTGGGTCCACTGAAACACACTGCTGAGGGGAGCAGTGAGTCGGTCAGGAGAGGCCTACCATGCATGTGTGTCACCTTCCTGCTGGGGATAGAACTCGTACTGCAGTGGCTGCAGATCGCTTCATAGGGCTGTGCGCCACCAGGGAGGACCCTTATTTACTTTTCCATCTCCTCTCTGGAAGGAGTCTCTTTATCACTGTGCACCACTACCTGGCCCAGATCCAGACACAGAGCTCTCTGTGGCGCCAACCTGGACAGTGCTCAGTGGGCAGGGGAATAGAATGACCTGATGGGCAGAGACCTAACCAGATCAATGAACCTCAGTGGTTCTTTTCTTGACATCACCGGGCAAATCTTTGATTTAGAAATTTGCTATTTTTTTTAAATAAAGTTTTATTGGTTTATCATTAATCTGTGATACCACATAAATTTCAAGGGTGCATCTTCAATGCTACATATATATATATAAGCCTCCCTTCCCTCTCCACCATCACCTGTAATTCTTAGGAAACAGGCTGACCTCTGTCTGGCATTCTGGTGGCCCTGGGAGTGTCACTCACATTTCCAGTTTTGTGGCTAGAGACCCTCGGAAACCCGAGAATACTCCTTCCCAGCCTTTTCAGCTTTACCAGTGTAACAGCTGCGGACATAGAAGACTCTTTGCATGGAGCTCCTAAGCCTGATAGTATTGCCCTCCCCATTACTTCGGGTTGGTGAAAAGCTGAACAAAGTGAGCTTTTATATATCAAAACATGTTTTTTCACAAGTCCTTTTAAATGTCAAGGATGCATTGATCATAGTTTTGGTATCGCCCCCCCCTCTTTAGATGCAGATGTTGGACAAATTTCCTATGGAGGGAGGACAGAAGGACCCAAAACAGCGGATCATTCCCTTTCTGCCAGGTAAGTGAGACCCAGCAGTCCGTCAGCGCCCCAGAGAATCTGATCCAGCTCCCAGATGTTCAGCTCATCTTCCTTCAGGCGTTCCCCAACCACCAGCATCTTAGTCATGCTTAGGCTATGAATGTGGACTTTGGGCCCAGATGCTCCACCATTTTCCACCCATATGACCTCAGGCAACACAGTTGCCTGGGCTCCTCAAGGTCTCCTACCCCTAAGTGATAATAAGGGTTCAGAACGCTTTTGTAATGAATGCCATTTGTTATGTGGCTGCTGTGTTACTGTCCTACTGCTATCAAACAAACTGCCACCTGTCTAGCAGCTTAAAATAATACCCATTTGTTAGCATACGGTTCCATTGGTCAGGAGTCCAGGCAGGCTTGGCTGGGCTCTCTGGTTCGAGTCTCTGAAGGCTGAAGTCAGGGTCTTGGCTGGACTGGGCTCTTATCTGGAGGATTGAGGGGAGGATCCACTTTTGATCTCAGGTTGTTAGCAGAGTTCGGTTCCCTGAAGCTAGAGAACCAAGATGCTGTTTCTTTGCTGGCTGTCAGAGGGGAAGTCCCTCGGCTCCCACTGTCCACTCCACCTTTGAGTGGGCAGGATCCTTATGCTTCCAGGATCTCTGCCATCCCTCTGCCACCAGTAAGAGAAAACTATCTGCATTTCAGGGTGCATGCGATTCCATTGCCCCCAGCCAGATCTTCTGATCCAGGATTGGCTCCCTCTCTTATGGTCAATGTGGAGTATAATGTAAGAAGTTTCTAGGTATGAGATCTCATCATATTGACAGCCTGGGAGCCTGGGAGGAGCATGTGGTGTGGGGCATCTTTGGGGGACCATTTAAAAATGCTGCTTGCCTGCAGCCACCAAGTACTTTCTAAGTGCCAGGTTCTAAGTGGTAGAATTAATACAAAAGGAGCTAGTCCCTGCTTTCAGTGCATTCAGTATTCCTTTCCCTCCCAAATTCTTTACTAAAAGAATGGCAGCAAGTCTTCAGCTCAAGAAAATTTGGCCTATCCAAACCAGTAATACTCGCTAACTGTACCTGCTCTGGGGAGACCCTGGGCCAAGTGCTTTACATTCATAACCTCATTCAGGCCTCAGAACAGTCCTGCAGTGGGAGACATGACTGTGCCCATTTCACAGGTAGGAAAATTGAGCCTCAGAATAATTACAAACACTTGCACACATGGCAGAGCTAGGATTCAGACACAGGTATGGTTGACTCCAAAATCCATGCCAGATTCCCCCGGTGCACATTGTAGGACACCCCATCATCCACACTTGCTTTGGATAAACCATCTAAGCATGCCAAGTTGCCTTTCTTCATTTGCAAATAGGAAATAACCCTGGCATTTAAATGATAGGATTGGGTGAGGATTAGGTAAACTCCTAGCACATAATTAGCAGCAGTTAAGCACTTATTATTATTTTCATGTATGGATAATTAGCAAGTTTACAATTCCTCTAAATCACAACTAAATAAAGCTGGAAAGGCCTTTCCAATCTTTTTCACGTAACACAAAAGGAAGCAGGCCTGGTGATGGGGAGACTCACGTAAGAACCCAGTCTTCTCTCTCTCACTCCAGTATTCTGACGTCAGTGGAATCTTCTAGATGTTGTTCACCTTGAATAGTGTAGAGCAGGGTGGATATATTTGCCAGACCCCCATCTCTACTGGGAGAACCATTTGCCTAAACAAGCTAGACATTTTACTTCTTCCACGGGAAAAGTGTGCAATTGCACTGGAATTTCTTTTCTTTTTTCCTACTGGAGAAAACCATTGTGCCAGCTACAACAGCCAACTGTCAGTGCTCCAAGCCATACGCTTTAAGAGTCAGACACACCCAGCCCCGAGATCTCTAGTGGGCCAGATGCCGTCCTCCTCCAAGCCTTAGTAGCCACATCTGCAAAATGGGACAATAACCTCTGCTTCACCAGCTTTTCTCCCTGTCACGTAGTAGGGTCTCCTTAAAAGGGGTCTTGAGGGCCCTCCCTGGTGGTGCAGCAGGTTAAAGCACAGCACTAAGAAGCAAAAGCCACTTCCGCATGAGTTCGATCCCCGCCTGCCCCGGAGGTGACCACATGGTGTGGCAGACCTCCCCTGACCCGCCCACTGCTCCCCTCAGCAGTGTACTTCGTCGATCTGCCTGTTCTGCTCCCCACTCTGTCTCTGGTGAAGCCTCTCGCCGCCCCTGAGCCTCTGACCTGTACCCCACCTCTGTATGTGCAAATAAATAAATCTTTAAAAAAAAGGGGGGGGGGCTCTTGAGACCTTCCTTTGGAATTTCTTGGCAGTTCATATTTCACTGCTGTGGCCTGTATGATCCCTGGCCAGGGAGCTACCCACATGGCACAGCAGACCTCTCCTGTCTCACCCACTGCTCCCCTCAGCAGTATATTTCAGTCATTTTGCCTGTTCTGCTCCCTACTCTGTCTCTGGTAAATCCTCTCACACCACACACCTCTGGTCTACACCCCAGTTCTTCCATACCAAAATAAATAAAAATAAAATAACCCAAGATTTTAAAAAATGAAAATGTTAACAAAAAAAAAAAAAAAAAATCTGGGTATCCCAGTTGAACTGGGCTTTAAATGTAGGTGTTTCTTCAGGGGAGGAAAGCAGGGTAGTTAAGTTCTAACTCTTCTCTGGATAAAAGACAAAGCCAGCTCAGGCCCTCCCTGGTGGCAGCAGGTTAAAGCACAGCACTAAGAAGCTAAAGCCACTTCAGCACGAGTTCGATCCCTGCCTGGGAGGTGACCACATGGCGCGGCAGACCTGTCCTAACCCGCCCGCTGCTCCCCTCAGCAGTGTACTTAGTCAGTTGGCCTGTTCTGCTCCTCATTCTGTCTCTGATGAATCCTCTCACCGCCCCTGCACCTCTGGCCTGTGTACCCCAGTTATGTATGTATAAATAAATAAATCTTTTTAAATTAAAAAAAAAAAAGACTAAACCAGCTCTTAGAAAAGCTTCCCACACCAGGGAAGATTAAGCCGACCCTCTCCCAAGCCCCGGAAAGCCTTTGTGGTTACATCATCCTTTTCCACCCATGAATTTGTGAAAATGCTTTTCTCAAGAACTCAGCCCTTTGCCCTGCAGCTTGGCGAGGTCCCACTGGGGCATCTTTCATAGCCCACCTCTTAGCTTTTCCTCGAGGCTAGGGCAAGGTCAGGGTGCCGGGGAGAAGTGTCCCCTCTCTTAGGGGTCAGTTTTCTGCCAAGACTATCTCATCAGCAGAACAAAAGCAAGTCTCATGTGAGCACAGAGCAGGCAGCAGGAGGGGCCTTGTGTGATTTTCCACCCCAGTTGGAGTGGGGGAAGCCAACTTGGCAGAGGATGCTGCTTGAAAAATAAGAATTACAGTTTGGCCTTCCTCCACTATGGAAAACAAAAGCCTGTGATTCCCTCCTCAGAGCCTTCTCTCTGCTGAGCCCTCTTTCAGCTTCAGGAAGGTGCGGGCTGGGAGGCTCCTTGCCCTCCTTCCCCATGGCTCCCAAGGCTCCCACGGCAACAGTTCACATCAGGCGGGTGTGGGGGTGGCTGGTCCATCAGCATTTCACCCCAGAGGCACTGGCCACCCAAAGAGGTGCTGGCCACACAGCTCTGCCCTGTGACTCCATCTCTGCTGGTTATTGAGAAAAGAACATGTCCCTTTTTTGGTTTTTTAAAATTTTTTATTTCCTTGTTTATTTTTAAATTTTTTTTTATTTTTATATATTTTTTTAAAGATTTATTTTATTTATTCATACAGAACTGGGGTACAGGCCAGAGGTGCAGGGGCAGTGAGAGGCTTCACCAGAGACAGAGTGGGGAGCAGAACAGGCAGATCTTTGAAGTACACTGCTGAGGGGAGCAGCAGGTGGGTCAGAAGAGGTCTGCCACGCCATGTGGTCACCTCCGGGGCAGGTGGGAATCGAACTCATGCAAAAGTGGCTTTAGCTTCTCAGTGCTGTACTTTAACCCACTGCACCACCAGGGAGGGCCAATAATTTTTTTTTTTTTTAATGGAGTTGACAGTGGTTAACAGCACTGTGTGATTATATAAGGAGATATATAAGGAAGAATCTGTGCTCTTTTGCGGCATCGTCTAACAATTTTTTTTAAGTTCCCCTTTTGTGTGGAGGGCTAAGCTCTGCTGGGTGTGACAGGGAGATTTTCTGCTTGCGAAGATGGGGATGGCTGCTCTCCCTTTTACAAGTGAGGAGACTGAGACTGTAAGAAGGGAAAAAGTGCATTTTCCAGGGCAGCCCAGTAGGTCAGAGGCAACCGCCACAGGCCAGCCATTGTACAGGGGCTTCCAGCCCCAATGAGGCTGCAGAGGAATAGGAGTGACGCTTTGTCCTGTGTTACAACCCCCAGAGACACTGGGACCCCGGCCTGTCACCTGAAACGGTTGGGCAGTGGTACTCAGGGCCGACCTGGGTCTGTGCCCCGGGCCAGTACCAGCACCACCCCTGTTCTTGTCTGTTTAGGTGCTTCACTGCCTTCTCAGTGAGAAACCTGTACAGCCCCCTGAACGCCTTTCCTCGGATATTATACCAAAATGGAATCAAAATGTTTTTGGTAGGGACTTCTCTCTCATTTTGAAAAACAGACTAGAGGGCAAGAAGTGTTTGCTGGATGGGGTGTCTTTTCACTAGTATGCCTTACTTTTCCAGAAGACTTAGGATGTTCCTCAGAGTTGAAAGCCATGAGAGCCAGTAGAATTGTATCACAGTGACAGGTGGGAAGATGCTGGGCTTTCTGAGGATTGGGAACAGGGATAGTAGCCATCCAGCAGGGAAGGGAACACTCCCACCTATGGAAGGCCTGGCCCACAGTGTCAGCTCCAGGAGATAGTCCCTCCACCCAGGAACCCTGATGGTTCCCACAGAGCCAGCACCCATCCATCAGGGAATGCGATCCTTAGTTCCAGGGTGCTGTTTCCTACAAACTGGCACTTATGGGCAACTATGGCCTATTTGCTATTCACAAATCACAACAGAACACAGCCCCGTATCACAAACAGGCCTGGGACACTGAGGCCGCTGTTGACCTTATGACATAACTGTCTCGATGGCGGTCTTGGGATAACTCTGCCTGTGATCGATCAGCTTATGCAAGTGTCTCTTGCCACATGGTCACAATGTCCCCTCCCCTTTCCCTTGTAAAACTTTGTCCCCCATTCCTAGCCCACCCTCTGGATCCTGTGCCTCGTACCATTGGTGCATGATCAGCTTTTGCTTTCCTATATGATGACAGTAAATGGCACCAGCACTTCTGCTCGAGCAGAGTCCCGCCTTGCAGGCCTGCTACATGACTGCCATGTCCCTGTGGCATTCCCACTGCCAAGCGGCACAAAGTTTCTGTCACAACACCAGTGAAGCCAGGTTGTGAATCTCCTTTGCTGCATCCTTTGCTTTTTTTATTCTAAATATCATGAAGTTATTCTGATTCCAGAAGCCATAAATATTTATGGTATGGGCTTTGGGGGAAGCATTAAAAGGAAAGCAAAAAGCCTCTGTCCCTGTCCTTGAATCCTGGGGTGTATTTTCTTCTGTTTATTGCCTCTCTTCTAACAAACATGGTTTATCACAAGTTTGAGTCCTGTCAACATTAAAACCATGACCAGTCTCAAGAAAGGAGAGCCCAGCTCGGAGTAGGAGGAATGTGTATTTCATCTCACTGTATTTTTTCTTTAATTGGTGGAATTAAGCAAAGGGAGAGCGCCCCATTAAGCTGGCCATGTCTACCTAATTTCCTATGAATGTCCTTTTGCCCAAGAGCAAGTTGTCCAATTATTTTAAATGTCAGATTAACTGGATGGTCTTTTGGGTGCAAATGTCCCTATCACATTACATTGCAAATCTTTAAAAATCAACTGATTACTTCCCAGGATCCCTTCTGTCGTATTAGAAAAACTCACTGACCTTTTCCCATTGTCCTTTTCTTGCTGACTCAATCTTATCTGTAGAGACTGCAGTCTGTCCAGAACCATCTAGCAGGGATTAATCTCTCCTTAGCATGGTAGGCTGGTTATCCATACACCTCTCATGTGATCCACCTCCTCAGGCCAAAAGCAGATGAAGCTGTTAGGATCTTCATGCTCTGCTGACGAGGGCTGTGGTCTTCATGTGCCTTCCTCTTTGACCTTCACTTAGCCCAGAAACTTGCCCATGCCTGACAGAGGGCTCCTCTGCATCCCCTCATTGTCACTTCTTGATGTCTCTTTCTGATGTTACCCACCCATGTCTAAGTGACAGTGAGCACAGGCTGCCTTACCCTTCAGTGCACAGGCTTTGCCACCATCTCCCCATGGCAGAATCACCTGTCAGAATCTTGGGAGCCCACTAATTTGCTTTATTTAAGCAAACTCACTCGTGATGTTTCAATGTCTTGGTGTATCACTGACCTATGTGCCATTGCCATATGTCAGATGGGAGACTCTGGTACCTGAGCATTGTGCTTAGGATGTCACCAACCAGTAGGGGAGGGCCTTAGTATTTGGTGAGGTCGGGAGACTTGGAACCCTTTTGTGACAAACAGCACATGGGGCAGGAGTTGGAGGAATGTCTCACTTTTACAGGTAGAATCCACCTTTATACACTCATCAGATGCAAATGCCACATGGCAGGGGCACCAAATTGACTGAATCTTAGCCCATCTTTGTACAAGGCCCATGACTGGTAGGAAGAATCTAGGACAGGGATGCTGCTGTAAATCAACAGTGACATGTGTGCTCAGAAAGAGGCAGAAGCTCCTGACCCATTTCATGTAGGGAAGAGTTTCCCGGCAGAGATGGTGGTTGAGGACATTCCAGGCAGATGGGAAGGCATAGGAACAAAGGACAAGAACAGAAAATGCATAAAGTAGAAGAAAAGGAAAATAAAGTTAGGCATATCTGAGTATCTGTTGTCCCGCTCAACTGGTTTAAGAGCCTGAAAGTTGGATAGGGAACCTCAGATAGCATTTCTTCTCAGCATCCTTTTCACTGGCTAAGAGTCCCATCTTTCCATGGGTTGGTTCCAGCCTCTCTTAACTCACCAAAACTTACCCACTGGGTTCTACTCACTCAAACCCTTGCTCTAATGCCACAAGCCAGACTTTGTTGGTCACCCAAGCCATGTAAACATCCAGCCTAGGTATTGCTGCAGCTAGGAATTCAGATACCACTCAAGTCTATGAGAGGCAGCCACTTCCACACCTTCATAGGTTGCTGAGAACTTGCCACTGCTCCCTTCCAACTCTGTGCCCATTCATCTTCTGCAGGCAAAATTCTCTTCCGAAGAAGTCATATTCGGGATGTGGCTGTCAAACGATTGATACCAATTGATGAATACTGTAAGGTAAGTCCAAGAAATGCCAACGCCTCCCTGTGGCTCCCTGTAGATAGTTTTGTGTTCGTTCTTTCCCTTTTCTGGCTACAAAATATTCATTGTGAAAAATGTGTATAGTTAAAGAAATTAGCACTTTTTGCACCCCTCAACTCACAAAAAGATCAGAACCAAGTTGCTCTCACCACTTCTGTTCTACATTGTTCTGAAAGTTCTAGCTATGAGAACAAGGAAGAAAAAAGTTGTACCAATGGGAAAGCAAGAAAACTGCCTTCATTCACAGATGACATGATTCTGTTATAAAAAAAATCATAAAGAAGCCATAAAAAAAAAACTAGAGCTAGTAAGCAAGTTTAGTAAGATCACAGAATACGAAACAACCTAAGTGTTTAAAAACAGGTGAGTGGATCAAGATGTGTGTACACAGATGCCCATACACACACACACACACACACACACACATATACACACACTGGAATACTACTAAGCAATAAAAAAGATTGACTCATGCCTTTTGTGGCAACATGGATGCAGCTGAAAGAGCTTTTGTGAAGTGAAGTAAACTAGAAAGAGAAAAATAGCAAATGATATCACATACACATGGAATATAAAAAAACCAAATGAAAAAAACCAGATGAAGGTAAACTTTAAGGACAACCTGTGAAAACTGACTGTAGATCTTCAACTTTCAGAGGAGAAAGAGGAGGGAAAGAGGCAAAAACAAGGGGATGGAGGTGGAGAGTACAGTGGACGATGGTGGAGGACTATAGGTTCTTCAGTGGTAGGAGTATGCTAGAATGACTACACCTGCAGGGGAAATCCTATACACTATATTGTCAAAACACTAGCAAGGATGTAAAGTAACAGTATTTCAATAACAATAAAACAAAAAAAATTACAGGTTCCAAGATCACTATACAAAATCAATTCTGTTTCTATACACTAACAATAACCCCAAAATGAAATTAAGAAAATAATTCTACTCACAATGGCATCAAAAAGAATAAAATACTTGGGAGTAAAGTTAATAAAAGAAGTACAAGGTTTGTACTGAA